CTATGGGGCCGCTATGGGGCAGCTATGGGGCGGCTATGGGGTCTCTATGGGGTCTCTTTGGCTGGCTATGGGGTATCTATGGGCTCTCTATGGGGCCGCTATGGGGCAGCTATGGGGCAGCTATGGGGTGGCTATGGGGTCCCTATGGGGTCTCTATGGGGCCGCTATGGGGCAGCTATGGGATCTCTATGCGTCTCTATGGGGTCTCTATGGGGTCTCTATGGGGCGGCTATGGGGCAGCTATGGGGTATCTATGGGGTCTCTATCAGCTGGATATGGGGCAGCTATGGGATCTCTATGCGTCTCCATGGGGTCTTCATGGGGTCTCTATGGGGTCCCTATTGGGTCCGTATGGGGTGCCTATGGGGTGGCTATGGGGTCCCTATGGGGTCTCTATGGGGCCGCTATGGGGCCGCTATGGGGCTGCTATGGGGCAGCTATGGGGCCACTATGGGGTCCCTATGTGTCTCTATGGGTTCTCTATGGGGTCTCTATGGGGCTGCTATGGGGCAGCTATGGGCCCACTATGGGGCAGTTATGGGATCACTATGGGGTCTCTATGGGGCATCTATGGGGCCGCTATGGGGCAGCTATGGGGCAGCTATGGGGCCACTATGGGCTCCCTATGTGTCTCTATGCGTCTCTATGGGGTCTCTATGGGGTAGCTATGGGGTCACTATGGGCCAGCTATGGGGCAGCTATGGGGCAGCTATGGGGTCTCCATGGGGCAGCTATAGGGCAGCTATGGGGCGGCTATGGGGTGGCTATGGGGTCTCTACGGGGTCTTTATGGGGTCACTATGCGTCTCTATGGGGTCTCTATGGGGTCACTATGGGGCCGCTATGGGGTCCCTATGTGTCTCTATGCATCTCTATGGGGTCTCTATGGGGCAGCTATGGGATCTCTTTGGGGCCGCTATGGGGCCGCTATGGGGCCGCTATGGGGCATCTATGGGGCAGCTATGGGGCAGCTATGGGGTCTCTATGGAGTTGCTATGGCATCTCTATGGAGCCTCTATGGGGTCTCTATGGGGCCGCTATGGGCCAGCTATGGGGCCGCTATGGGGCCACTATGGGGCATCTATTGGGCATCTAGCAGCTATGGGCCCACTATGGGGCAGTTATGGGATCACTATGGGGTCTCTATGGGGTCCCTATGGGGCCGCTATGGGGCATCTATGGGGCATCTATGGGGCGGCTATGGGGCCGCTATGGGGCTGCTATGGGGCAGCTATGGGGCAGCTATGGGGCGGCTATGGGGCCGCTATGGGGCCGCTA